CAGTTAAAAATATATGTTGACTAAAAAATGTCAAGTTCACAATAGTTTTCGGAACAGTAAATTTGTCTCTTGGTTTCTTATTGTGTACTTTACATAATAATATAATTATTAAAACAATCTAGTATAATAATTTATTAACAGCAAATTTTAACGACCCAAAATAGTTATACAAAAGTATTCAATTTATTTAATTCTCCCATTTTATTAAACTTATAAAAAGTTACTGATGTATTAAAATCGCATAAAACAATATTATTAGAGAAATTTCCCTTTTCTAATATACAAATTTGCCGAGGGAAACAAAACGGCGATAAATTAATTTATATAAATATTTATATAAATAACATGTATTTTACTCTTCGGCTAAATAGCGGATTTGCTTTACGAGTCGTCGAAATTAATTTGAGATGTGAAAAGCATATTCGATTTATTCTGATATTTTATTACATAGGGTAGAATATTCAGTTATCCCATTTCAACAGCACATTTCGTAATAACAACGGAGCCGGCGTGGGGCTTTGTTGATGTTGCGGCCTTTGGGGTATATTGCGGTGTACTGACAATGAATGTCTACAAGATCGCCGTGTTATCATTCGTATCGCGGCAGTCGAGCGAGCAGGTAGCACGTTCTTACCTCCTTGAACGAGATCTGTGTTACAAAAAGATAAAAATTTGTAATTTCGTATTCTGTGCATTATGAAACATATTTGACGAATTATTACACACGCGAGGTATTTATTAAAATATAAACGTACGGAGTATAAAGTTACAGAAAAGTAAAATTATATCAAAATCTAAAGAATTAGGGATCGTCTAAGGCGAGCTTTACTCTTTTCGATCGTTCTCTAGGAACAATTGGCGACTGTCCTGCGCGATTAATTCTGATTCGCAACGAAGCAACGATGTATATCCCCAAGCAGATATTTCGCGATTTATTCAGCTAACGTGAAAATTCGTAAGCGCGAAGAATAGGAATTATAAATTGTTGCTTTGCTTGCGATAGTCGTTTATCGAGCGACGTTTGTTTGTTCAGAGATGCCTGCTATTCCGAGATTGGAATATATTTCGCGTCTCGTACTTCGAATTTTTGTCGATTTGAATGTAATTTGTTTACCATTCTCGGATTGAGGGCGCGAAGTAATACGTAAATCGCGGGATCGAGTAATCCAAGTAACGAAAAGCAATACATCAGGTTATGAATCATACATGCTTTTCGCAGGATTTATATATTCGAGGTGTATTGCGCAACGCTAAATTCCGCTTATGTACTTTCGGACGTTCCGTCGCATCTTAATTAGGTCATTAGTTCAACTTTATTAATCGTGTTGCGTCGCATGAAAGATTGCCAACATTATTTTCGAATTTACTCCTCATTAACGGACCATTGCAGGTAGAAAACGAAGTCGAAACTGAGTCGAACAGCGTCGCGTTTAATTAGTAAATACCATCGTAATTAATCTCTCATCTTACAGTTGGAACTTAATTTTATACAACTTATTATTTGATGACTTATTATCGTGAATTTACGTTGATCGTGACGTGACGTTTCTCGTGACGTTTTTTATTGATGATTTATTGAAATTCTCTGCCGTCATGTTCATTTGCCAGTCACTCCGTGCAGAACGTGCTATTCTCCGCGTTATATTTCCGCCGTGACGTAGTGAAGTGCGTGTCGTGTGCGATTAACGTCAGAAGTGCCGTGCATAATGCTGTGTAATTATCGTATCTTGATGATTAGTGCTCGTAATTAATCACGTGTTTACGACTGAATATTGTGCGAGTGTAATGAAGAAACAAGAGAAGGCAAGACGAAAGAGAAGGCTTGGGTCGCACTGTATGACGACCAAGCAAATATGAGGTGAGATGCATCAGACGTAGGAAATTCTCCAGAGAAATTCGCGAACATAAATGAAAAAAGTAGGAAATATTTTACAGATAGAATGAGCCCTGTAAGAAGTGACGATAGAGTAATCGCAAAGGAAAAGTTGTCTTTGCATTTAATATAGTTATTGTTATTATTACACTTTTATTCATTATTTTTATAGCACTCTGCGCGCAAGTACGATTTTCAATAAACGAAAGACGAAGGGAATAACAAATAAAGTATAGGAAAAATTAATATTACCTAATATTTGGACGCATAACTTAATTTCTTTGTTTTCTTGTTTTACATATAATTCGATTCAGCGTTTAGCTTCATTATAGTCTCTTTTCATAGTTAAACATTATATAAAAAATTATAAATAATAAAGCGATATTAAAAATTTTTTTTAATATACGTATGTATATGCCAAAAGCCTAAGTAGAAATTGAGCAGAAGATATAACGCAACAGTGCGGAAATAAAAATGCATTGCTACACTTTTATTCAATTAAATTAATTTGAACTAATATTCAATGTTCCAAATTTTGGTTATATTTAAACTAAGTTTATTTATTTGGACCAAGTCGGAATATATATCTCTTTAGGTGTTACGAAATATAAAATGATTTAACACGTGATAGATAATGGTAACATCAAAAACTGATGATGTAGTACAAATTTCGGTGCAAATCAACCTTCGTACTAAAGTGCCCTTTCACAATAATTTCGAGTTCGGTTTGTGTGAGTCTAGTGTTGATAATGTGACAGTAAAATACGTTGTTATTCCCTTCCGAATCTGCGTGGAATAAATTAAATTTGAATTCATGGTCGAAACAGATTGCATCATTAAGGGACAAACTGGTATTGTTACGAATATTATACGTAATTCATAAAATATTGATTTATGGATGACGCGATAACAATAGCGTTAGGAAGTGTTGATATACATATGTATACTTTAGATGCAAATCAACTTTATACCTGACATCGCTTTATCCTTCTATAACAATTATTTCGGTTTGCACGAGGCAAACAGCGACAGCAAATAAAGTTATTATTTAATTCTAAATTGATAATCGCATAAAATTAAATTCACTGGGATAAAGGCTGAAATAGATCGCTTTATTGAAAGACAAAATAGCATTTCATTATGAATATTACACGTAATTCATAAAACATTGACTCACAGATGATACCGTAACGATAGCGTTGCAATGCGCTGGTATATACCTCAGACATAAATTGACTTTATATCCGTAGTCGCTTTTCACCCTCTCGCCATAATGATTCCGAGGTCGGCTCGTGTGAGGCGAGCCCCGAGACAGTGAGAGCAAATAACGTTCATTGTTATTTACCCCCCGTGTCTGCGTGCTCGTGTAAACTCGATCGGTCGGGGCTTGCTTAAACGGAGCATTTGCGCTTATCGTGAAGGGAGAGTTGTATCTTCATCGAATGCTTTTCCTCGTATAAAATGCCGGCCGACATATTCAATCTACAGCGAGCATGGAGATTTAAACGTAGACGCACTCGTGTCAGTTCGGAGAATCCAAAAATCTTCTACTTGTCTTCTTCGCGCGAGGTATGCAAATGTTGCAGAGCGATACACACGCGATACGCTATTTCACAATTCGGCAAGAAGACCGAGCAGCGATCGATCTTGAGTTTCCGCGTTTCCACTTGAATACTCTTCATTCAGCCCTGAAAAATTTAAAAAATTTTATTTTTGTTCTTTATGCTATGCGTGAAATTAAAACGTTGACGTGATAAAAGAAGGATTTTATTTTATTACGGAATTCGTTGAAATGACGTCAATTTCGCACGTGCACATATGAAACTTTTTATTAATATTTTATTAATATTAGCGACATATGTCTTAAAGAATGCAGAACACATCGATACTCAATTAAATCATCAATTATTCTCGCTATATATAGAATATACAATAGTTGACGTAGGCTCTACGCAAGTGGCAAAACAGATGCTACAAATAGATTGTTATTCGGCAACGAGGTATAAATATCGCCGTTGCAATACACGATACAAGTATAATAGTGCAAGCTAGATAGCAATATAAAAGTAACAGTAGTCTTCACGGTTTTAACGATCATGGTGTGCGCCATGATTCAGGAATCCGTAGGTCTTACTTCGAACATGATCGCTTATCGATGAATTTCCGGAAAATAACGACATACTATTCTCTACGAAGGAACAACTATATTTGGGCGCTCACTTCCCATATTTTTCCTATGCCTCAATACCCTCGACAGAAGATATTAATATGGAATCGATGAAGGATCGCGTTGATGAATTGAAAAAGGAGATGAAGGGTGGTGTTGAAGAACGGATGAAGGAGATGAATGAGATGAAGAATCGCGTTGAAGAATTGATGACTGAGAGGAAGAATAGCGTTAAAGAGAATCGATGAAGAAGATAAAGAATCGCGTTGAAGAATCGAAGGAAAGGTCGAAGAGAGAGCTGAGGAGGGAGATTTTGAGATGGTGAACCAATTGGCATGACGTGGGAGAGACTGCTGCTAATACCTACGTGGAATTTTCGGCGGTCAACTCCACCAAGTGTACGAAAGTCCCAATAACTACTTCCGCAATAAATCCACAGATGATATCCGAATGACAACTCCAGAAGAATAATAAATACATGCAAATACTACGAAGAGAAACAAAATGATAAAATGTTCAAATTTCACTGGGTAATGGTGTAATTCTATTTGCACTTATAATAAGATAAACTATTATTTGGAGTAGTATTTAAATTGAACAGCAATAAAAACATATCAAACTCTTAAATATGGTACAAGCATATAATTTTCTGAACTTTTCCAAAGAAACCTGGTTGCGAATATTTGGTACAACAATTAATAATCGGTAAAGTGAGTTGACTATGCATTTTATTTTATTTTATTTTTTACGGAAACCGTTTAAATGACATCTGACGACATTTTCGCATGCGCAAATATGACAATTTTATATTAGCGACATATGCCCAAAAGAATGTCGAACCTGTCGACACATGTTCTGTAAAGTCATTAATTATTCTTGTTGTATATATAATAGAATATAGTTGACATAGGTTTTACGCAAGTGGCAAAACAGATGCGTACAAATAGAGTGTTATTTAGCGGCGCGGTATAAATATCGCTAGTGCACTGCGATACGAACATAACAGTGCAAGTATTGGCAGCGCAAGCATTGGCAACACAAGATAGCAACATGAAAGCAGCAGTGGTCTTCACGGTCTTGGCGATCATGGTGTGCGCCATGGTCCAGGAATCCGTAAGTTTTAATTTGAACATGATTGCGCGTTTATCGATACATTGCTGGAAAATAATGACATACTATTCTGTACGAAGGAACAACTACCGAGACATGTCTTTCCCTCCGATATGTCGGATCGCGTTGAGGAAGCGAAAAACCTGTGGCAGCTTGAAATTGAAAAATTGATGAATAGTTTAAAGGATGCTGGGATGGTGGAGGATGAAGAAGCGATAGATGAAGAACCGACAGATGAAGAGGTTGAATCGGGAAACCTGTGGCAGCTTGAAATTGAAAAATTGATGAAGAGTTTAAAGGATGAAGAGAGGTTGAAGAGAAGCATTGATATGGAATCGATAATGGATGGCGCTAGTGCATGGACAGAGAAGATGCGGGATGGCGTTGCTGATATAAAAAAGGATGTTACTGATAAACTCGCGAAGGAGAAGGATCGTCTCACTGCTGAATTAAAGAAAATTGAAGAAAAAATGAACGAGATGAAATCAATAATTGGAGGAAGGTCGAAGAGAAGCTTTGATATGGCATCGATAATGGATGGTGCTAGTGCATGGACAGAGAAGATGCGGGATGGCGTTGCTGATATAAAAAAGGATGTTACTGATAAACTCGCGAAGGAGAAGGATCGTCTCACTGCTGAATTAAAGGAAATTGAAGAAAAAATGAAGGAGATGAAATCAATAATTGGAGGAAGGTCGAAGAGAAGCAATGATCTGATGGAAATGATGCATGAAAAGTTGAATGGTATGATAGACTGGAGCCACTGGCCGTGGTATAGGCCCACTACGGTTCAAGCAGCAGAAGACACGACAATTGCTTTCGAAAATAATGAGTCTGCAGATGATATCCAAATGACAACACCAGCTTCAGCATAATAAATACAAATACTTGCGAAGAGAATACGAAGAGAAACAAAATGTTAAAATTTTAATAGAAAATTATGTAATTATGTTTGCACTTATAATAAGATAAATTATCATTTGGTATTACAGTATCTAAATTGAATAGCAATAAAAACATGTTAAATTCTTAAATATGAATACATATTATTCCCTAAATTGAAAGAAAACTGGTTGCGAATTTGCGGTACAATATTCAGTAATCGGAAAAGTGGGCAATTTGATAGAGATGTATTTGTAAAAACTTTCTCGTCTAGTATTAAAATGCATATTATAATGTACCTTTCCCACCCACTAAGAGCTAGTTTCTTGATGAGGCTCTTAGAGGCGTTTTTGCTTTAAATCCTTGTAAAAAAATATAATGGTTGAAAGTGGTGGTAAAATGAAAATGGAGAGAGAGGAGGGAGGAAGGAAGAGAGAGAGAGAGTTAAATGTTAAAAAGATTTTGAACATTTTACTGATAAACATTTAACTATAAATAATTTTGTTTACCTTCTTGAGTAGAAGGTTTGTTACGAATCACTCAAATAAAATATTGATATATTTTATTCAAAAAGATAGATAAAAATATTTATTATTTAGTTGAATATTTGTTGAAAAGGGAGGGGACATGTATTTTTTTAATCTCCATTTTTCGATTTTAATATCTTTCTTTTAGATGTCCCGTCCTATTGCCGATTAGATTTTCAAAAAGAGCAACTCTTTCTACCCTTAAATATTAATTGCACTCTAAAATTTTAGAATTTAACTTACAAGGATTTAAAATAGAAAAACATTTCTAGAGTTAATGCGTGTATTAAAATCTAATCGACACCACATACATTGGTTTCGTAAATATTTTTTAGCGTGTATTAGTTTATTTTCAAAATATGCACCACACGAATCACCGTGTATTACCTGATAAAAGAGTAGGTTGAAACACGTAGCAAAATCAGAAAGGGAATGTTTCTACACCTTAAAATAAATTAAATAAGTCAAATATAGAAATATTAACTTTCAAAATCTTTCTATTTTAAAACAAACATTTTTTTAATTTTATTTTATTATTTCTACTTATTTCAACCCATAGAATCATCCCTTCCCGAGTACTGTATGTGTGCAAACTATTGCAGTAGACTATCTCTTCCGTAAAATGACATAATAGTCATTGTCAACATGTTCTTCACTTATAAGAGAAAGCGCCTTTTCCTATTCACAAGTTGCACAAGTTAAATACGATCCAGTGTTTCATTTCATTTATATACCATCAGTCGTATTCTAGAATATTCCGATAACAATTTAGTTACCTTATTATTTTATATGTCTAAAAAGAAAAATGAACACTCATGACGGTATTCATAGTCAGATCTTATATTTAAGATCATCTTTAGATACTCCGTAGTCAAAGTCCCATACTGCTTTAGATAAATTCAACACGGTTGTGAATACCAAATACCATTCGTGAAGCCAATAGCGTGAGAGTGATAGCGAGTTCTATGAACAACAGTAGTGAAATGTCTGGCATTTGACATTTGTCATGCTCACGAATTTGGTTAAGTTCTTTATTAAATTACATTAATTTCAGAATAAATTGTTTGTACTGATAATGAGAATAAAGAGTTGACTTAAAGAAATATTTCTCTAGTCAATAAATACTGCGGTTAATAGTTGTTAAACAAGTATTTGTTAATAAAATACGTGTTAATGAAAAAAACGCGTATAATTCGATAAATTATACATGTTTAACTTAAAAATACATATATATGAACTAAAGAAATATTGTTAATTAAACATATCTAGCAATATCAACAACATTTTTTCTCAGTGTGCGATCACGCACAGCGCCGAGAATAAAAATTAGAAACTTGTCAAATTATCCATATTTTATTTGAAATTAATGAAAAATTATTAAACACGTGGAAATATAAAGTAAGGAACTCGCAAGTAAAACTTCAATATTGAACCTAATTTAACGACGATTAATATGATTGCAACTTACCGTTTCGTGTTCTAAGAACATCAGCCGGAGAGACTTTAATTTTCGTCAGTTTCCGCATCATGCAGAAGAATTCCAATTTAATACAATGTATTTATTGAGCTTTGATAAATCCCAAAACAAGCTAATCAAATGAAATCTGAATGTACAACTATAAGTAATGCTACTGGCAGCGTTTACGGAGCTTATAAACGCTATCATTATACTGTCTCAAAAGGAAAAGTGTTGGTAGCAAGCAGTTGTGACGTGTAACGCTACCATTAGTGACGTCACGCTACGTTTGTTAGCGCTGCTACTTATCTCCGCGAATAGCCTGTAGCATTAAATAATGCTGACAGTTAGCTCCCCGAACGTACCCTATGAATACTGGTCTAATTAAAATACCTAACAAGTGGCTGTGTTCCTCTTCCAAATTTCTTTTTTTTTCGAATTGACGATCATGCATTTTATTTTATTTTTGTACGGAATCCGTTTAAATAAGTCTATTATCGATTTCGCATGTACACATGCGACAGTTTCATATCAGCGATATATAACCAAAAGAATGCGGAACATATCGAACGCTCTGTGAAGTCATTAATAATTGTCGTTGTATATAGAATGTAGTTGACACAGTAGGTTTTACGCAAGTGGCAAAACAGATGTGTACAAATAGCGCGTTATTCATCAGCGCGGTATAAATATTGCTAGTGCACTGCGATGCAAGCATAACAGTGCAAGCATCGGCAGCGCAAGACATCAACATGAAAGTAACAGTGGTCTTCACGGTCATGGCGATCATGGCATGCGCCATGGTCCAGGAATCCGTAAGTCTTAATTTGAACGTGATCGCTTATCGATGAATTTCTGGAGAATAACGACATACAATACTATTCTATATGAAGGAACAAGTAGCTTTGGGCCTTCCCTCGATGCCATCGCTGCCCAAGATGCCATCGCTGCCCAATATGCCATCGCTGCCCAATATGCCATCGCTGCCCAAGATGCCCTCCATGCCCTCGTTACCTTCATTGCCCTCGTTGCCTTCAATGCCTTCAATGCCTTCAATTCCTTCGCTACCTTCGCTACCCTCGCTGCCCTCGATGCCCTCGTTGCCGTCGATGGGCTCAATGACGAATCTGCTGAAGGATAAGATGATGAGTGGCATGGACGAAACAGTGAAGCAGGCGTTGTTGGGTGGCATGCAAGTATCGATGGGGAAAATGTTGATGCAAGGCGTTGATCCAAAATTGTTGATGGAGATATCGGAGGATTGCTTTAAAAAAGCGTGTTCGGTGACGTGGAACAAAGGTGTTGGTATGTTACCGTCGACGGAGATCGTAGTAAAATGCATTGAAGGAGCGGCGATGAAGACGTTGGAGAATGGCGTTAAAAAACAGATGGAAGGGGTGGCGAAGATGGCCGGGCTCCAGAAGAGAAGCATTGGTATGGGACCAATGATGGGTATGTTGCCTAATCCCATGGGCTGGAACAAACGGCCGTCTATGTCGTGGTCAATGCCGGGTATGCCATGGCAAATGCCGCATATGCCATGGGGAATGCCGCATATACCAATGCCGCATTTGCCAATGCCACCTATGCCTCCTATGCCATGGCCAGTGCCACCTATGCCATGGCGTAGGCCAACTACTACGACCGCAACACCGGAACAAACGACAGGAGTACCGGAACAAACGACAGGAGTACCGGAACAAACGACAGGAGTACCGGAACAAACGACAGGAGTACCAGACCAAACGACAGGATACGCAACAGGATCATTCCCGACTACTTCCTAGACATTACATCCACAATGGCATCTCAATAAGGAATTTAGCAGGAGAATAACAAACGCAAAAATTACCACAAAAGGAAACAAAATGACAAATTGTTCAAATTTAATTGGAAAATGACGTAATTGTATTAGCACTTATAATAAAAAAAACTAGTACTTAGGTGCTATCTAAATTAAATAATAATAATATATAATCTCTTAAATATGGATTCACATATAATTTTTCAAATTGAAAGAAAACTGGTTATGAATATCTTTAAAACAAATTCTTAAAAATATACAATGCTCAATGCACGCGAAGCGCGCGCTTTGTCATTTCTAGTTTATTAATAAAAAGGCAGGGGTCATTTACTTTTTACCTCCATTTTCGACCTCTATATCTTTTTTCAGATGTTTTAATTCCGATTAGATTTTATAGGAAAGAGCAACTCTTTTTACCCTTAAATGCCAATTGCGGTCTACAAATTACAAGGATTGAATATAGATAAGCAGTTTTAGAGTTAATTTGTGTATTCAGATCTAATCGACATATACATCGGCTTTGTAAATATTTTTCTAGCGTGCATTAGTTTATTTTCAACATTAAAAATAGCCTGAATCACCTGAATGACCGTTCCATATATAGGGTAGGTAGGTTGGAAAACGTATTATAACTTGGATAAGGTTGTTTCTACGGCTCGAAATAAGTCAAATATAGAAATATTAACTTTCTTTTTTAAACCAGAAATTTTTCCGAAAAAAATTTACTATATTATTTGTACTTATTTCGACCCACAGAATTATCCCCTTCTCGCAATTGTATTCATGTTTTCCAGCCCACTGTGTACCTGTATATCTCTTGATAACACTTGTGTTACGACAATCCAATTTTATAAATAACACTGCTCGCGCGAATTACATCAACGGCCGGAATCTGTCAGTTAATAATAACACGCGGTAAATAAAAAACTGAAAGGGAAGCAATGCAGGAGAATATTATTCGTGAATAATATTCTCCTGTCACAGTGCGAAATGTGTGAAATTTACAAACATTTCTCTGGCATTGCATAAAATTGTATATTGCGATACACAGGGTGTTATGGAACGAAATGGATGTTAACGCGCTTATTAAGTTTTCTGTCCAGGAAATTGTGTGATCAAAGTATTATCGTTACGTAGGAGTTATTATGAAAGTTTCTGTTTGGAGAATCGTACGGAACCAGGTCCGAATGAGAAAATAGAAATCCGGGCTCTCTTCGAACTCCGCGCTCTGCAGCTACCCAATGCATACGGGTTCTCCTATTGGTCCGCGCAAGAGTCATTCTTCTGGGTTCTTAGTGGTCCGCGCTCCGTACTCGCCGAGCGCATACGGGCCTTCTCGATTGGCTACCGCTTCGCATGGCAACGGTCCCCATTGGTTGATACCAATAACCGTCGGGGCTCTCTTTTGGGTCCGCGCCTCTGTAGTTCACGAGCGCGTTTCGAACTTGGCAACCAGTTGCCTCAGAGAATCAGTACGTCGTGTCACGTATGGACGTGTGTCGGGAAGCACGCAATCCAGTGCGTTGTGTCATCCCGCAAGTGAAAACCCGCTTCGTCCGCAAGGACCCGTGCGCTCACTCGCACCAGGCAAATAACGGCTTAGGGCCAGTTTCACAAACGTCGTTTAACCGCTAACCCATGGTTAATTGATCCTCTGTCTCTTCTTGGATAACAAGATAGAGAAAGATAGGAAGTCGATTGAACTCTGGTTAACAGTTAACCGACGTTTGTGAAACTGGACCTTAGTCCGTAAGAACCGTGCGCTCGCTCGCACTCAGAAATCACTCTGGCTATCCTCATCGCCGCTGTTGTCTACCTCGCCGCTGTTGTCTACCTCGCCGCTGTTGTCTACGTCGCCGTTGTTGTCTACGTTGCTGTTGCCGTCGTCACCGAGACCGCCCAGATCATCGCTACGTCTCGTCGGCGTGCAGAGCGCCTTAGAACATCCCTACGTCTCGTCGGCGTGCAGAGCGCCTTAGATCGTCGCTACGTCTCATCGGCGTGCCGGACCCGCGACTATTCCTGCCCAGTGTTTTGGTTATTCGCCGGACCAGATAAGTCCCCCAGACAGATATACAAACTGTCGCCATCGACCCATCGGCACAACGCCCCCGAGCGCGGATCTTTGTCAAAACCCTCCCCCCCGTTATGGTACATCAGCATATAATATTAAAGTAAAGAACCAACGTTATTCGATACAATTAGCCTTTTCACATTCTTGCGATTACCATTCTTGCGTTTCACATTCTTGCGATTACCATTCTTGCGTTTCATACCTTGCGATCTCCTACAGTTTCTTAAAGCGATAAAATACTTTTAGATATTTCAAAATTATTATTTTCATTCGCTAACACTTTACATTGTTATCTTATAATCTATTTTTTTAAACTTAGACGACAATTACACGTTTTAAAACTTCCAAATTTATCTTGCATGTTTAAATTTTATCGAAGTATTTCCTAGATATTTTCACTACTTTCAAGAGTTTGTGAAGCATTCAAAACTTTTTAAGACTCTCGAGACTCTTGCGAAATTCTACTTTCGAATAATATTCGAAGCATTTCGGATCTTTACGCGATTGAATTGTTCGAAAACTCCCGGAAGAACAATTCGGATACTCGATCACGGTTATCACTGAAAAAGACCGAACGAAAAGCATTGAATTCCGGCTGATACGATGACGTTCAATTAACTTTTTCGCACGACATCCAATTCATTGTAATAATTTGCATTGGGCTAATGTACAACAGTTGTTACTAAATAATTCCCCGAAGGTGGCGAATCGCGATCTACATCGTAGTGCTCGTGCGGCATACTTTATCCCCCTGAGATACGGCACGGTGGCAAAGTTGGCGGTATCTAGTTAACCTGTTTCCGGATCTTGAGGTAGAGGAAAATAGGATGTTACGTCAAACTCGATTAATGTCGGTGGGATTCAAGGGGAAGGTACGATGCGACGGAGACTGACGTTAATGGTGCCGATCGGAGTTGACAGAATCGTTTTACATCTAAGTTAACTTAAACGCAAATAAACTCGCGATCGTAACAATTGGGACTTAATCGTTCTTTCGTATAAAAAGATCAAAGTATCTTACGCCTTAATTGACTTCTGTAATGCCGTATATTCTATTTCTCATTTAGCTTCTTATCTTTGTGTTGTCTCATTAATTGTATTCTACTACAGATTAATCGAAGTTTAACATTTTAAATAATGACTAAAAATAATTTTTGCAGTATTTTCTCAAGACGATCGCCTATGATTGACGCGATTGTCTAGTTAGATAACTCTTTCGTGTTTTTCTTCACGCGAGAAACGGCGAAAGGGATTGTGCTTTTACGATATTTTTCTACGAAATCTTATTGTTAGTCCGTAACGTTCAATCTGAACCACACTGCATAGCCGTGTAAAAAAACACGTATGATTCAACTTCCATCTATTATTCCGCGTCGTCTCTTTTGAAGATCAATGGTTCCGCCAGGAACAAGCAATTTCACAGACGAAATTACATAGCCGAAGCGCACACGGCGGTAAAAGCTGTTGTTTTGCCGTCATATACAGATCAGGCTTTTTTCGCGGTATCTACGGTACGAAAATTTGATGCAGTATTTTAAAGAGGAGAGAACGCAAAAGCTTGTAATCGATAGCAATGTCTCGCGGGAGTCGGCCGGACGGTATCGCGAGATAACTCGACGATACATATGCGGAAAAAAAGTTCGGAGTGCATAAATCCAGAAGTCCATAATTAATCAGATTCTGTTCGGATGTGTCTCAAATTTTAATGTAGTCGTATAAATTTACCGTATTTAAATTTTGCAACATATTTTGCCAGTTGTGAGCCCAGTTCAGCCTTGCTTTAAATTGCATATAGAAATCTGCAATAAAGAATATTATCACGTGCACAGTCCTCACTGTGCGAGGTATTTTCATCGCGCAGTCTAATAAATTGTTTCGTATACCCGTTTAAAAAATCACGTCTCTTTTTATACGAAGACTGTTCACATATTTTTTTTAAGTGCTGTAACTGCCCATTAAAAAAATATCCCCTCTGAAATTCTGAAATCTGTGATTGATGCTTACATAATAATGACGGCCGAGGAAACTGAGATAATTTCCACAGAGAGGAATTCTGAAGGGAGGGAATTCGAAAATGTCAGTTTTTCCCCCAAGTTTCTGTAGGAACAGGAAAGCTTTCCGGTAGAACTGGGTTTTAACAAGGAGCTCGCAGCCGAGTGAATCAATTGACCCGCCGACATTACCGGCGTTCGCCCAATTTACGACTGCGACTCTACTGCAAATTGCCCCTTCACCGTGGAATTTTCGCCATGCGCGGTATCCAAAAAAAAAAGGGAAAAAGAACGAACAATAGGGGATCTACTACACCTTCCCTCCCCTCGCACATTTTTTTACGCGCAGACGAGAAAGCCTCGGCAGCTGATAGCCGGTGCCGCCTACGTTCCTCTAGAAATCCAGTTATATAAATGCGCATATGTGATTTAGACCGGGACAACGTATTATACCGTTTCGACGGGCGAATGGGGCACCGTCATTCGCGAACGCAAAATTGCGAAACACATTTCGCGTTCCATTTAGGGATAATTGCGAGAACGGCGCCGGTTTCCTGATAAAAGACTGCTTAGCGCGATGACCGTAATATTATAATTGAATGAAACTACACGTCTACGGTGGAAAATAATAAAATACTGCAGATATTTATATGCACGTAGATATATATTTACAATGGCGAAACATAATATTGAGAATTTCCTAGCGAATGGATTATTATTCCGCCGGCGATATCGAGAGAGCTCTCGAGATTTTTCGTTTTACACTTGATAAAACATTCAATGGAGGTAAAAATGCAAACGATATAACAAACTTATTACTACTTGAATATATCACCTAGTGATTTTATAAACGTAATCGATGTTTTAACATGAAAAAAGCTGAAAGACAGGGAAGAATAGCGCGGTAAAATTATTTAGGAAATGGGGGAGGATGTGTTAGAAAGAAACTGGACTTATTTGAGATTTGAAAGCAAAATAGTAAGAGGGTAACCACTTGATGTAATCGTGGGACAATGTCTCCGAAATTATTATGAAATACTTACGAAATCCCCGTGTAATCGTTTTGTCTTCATTTTCAAGTTTCTTCACCAGTAAATACAGATACAAAATTACTTTTCGTTAAGACCACGGGTAGACTAGTGGGAAAAGTGGGAAGCAAGGAAACACATGACCGAATACTACAATCTTAACTGAAATTACCTCTACAAGCAAATATTTCTTAATATAATAAGAAAAATATATTTTGAGAAAATCTAACAGCTCGTTGAGCTTTAACAACGTTACATAGTTTTAAACGTGCATATAAGAAAATTATTTGCAATTAGGTGAGATTATTTGTAATCAGGTGAAATCAAATGAAATCGTGTAATCGGTGGGACGACATTTTGACTGGTGGTTATCTCCTTCCAAAATAGCTTCCGATGAAGTTTCGCGACAGATAACTCTTTTTGGCGAGAAAAAAACTTTGTCCTTCGCGAGAATATATATCGAGTAAATCATGAAATCTCGTCAGAATTAAAGTTGCGCGTCGTGGGACAGCCTGTATATCGAGAGCGTGCCAAACGTAACGAACTGCGGGATCTACGGTCTGAAGAAAATAATGCAGTTTATACCGCGGACGTTGTTAACGGGATTTACACAGTATAGTGCCTTACAGAGCGGGCAACTATAATGATGTAGGTGACACGGGGAAGTATTACATTCGGGCTGGGGGCTGCGCTTCAGCACAAAGGTATTATTATTATCCGAGCACCGTTAAGCTTCGCACTTGGAGCAAGAGCGGAGAACAATGGTTACCCGTGTCCAATTCGGAACACGTCCATATTGACTGACTATTATTTCAACCGCCGTGTGTGCGGTCGCGGAGACGCGTTGTCTGTCAGCGCTCTCCTTCCTCCGGCGTTTTCGAGACAAATGGCACAGTCTCGATTGTGAGGCTGTCCATGAAAGTTGCACGATTACGTTACGCCCTTCATTAGGTTATATCGTACGCGTTACATTGTACAAGTTATATTGTACGTTTTAGCGAATGTTCATCGGATCGTCGAACCGATCTTTACGGGCGTTACGACGCTGCGACCGTCGTTGGGGCGGCCGTAACTTTGGCTGCGAGAATTGCCTGTAACACGATAACGTAAATACCACGAGCGCGAGATATCTCGTTGCCGATAAAAGCGACGACGCCCCGCCCGCGAGTTCCATTTAACTTTTATTTGCCCCTCGAATGAATATTATTCGACGCCGGTCGTTCCTGCATGTCCGAAAGAAACGGAGCGAGAGCGAAGCGAGCTGTTTAGCAGTTTTATTTAACGCTGACACCTGAATACTCGGTGTGTATCTGAATTTGAAATAAAATGAAATATACGGGCACATGCGTCTTTGTGTGCGCGCGCTTCGGTAAAACTCGAGCGAATATGTAGATCGGAATGGCTGCAGCATCACTGACAGCTGCAGCAGCGCTGCATAGATTTATATATGTATATATGTGTATATATAATGTATATATTTTTGCGACCTCTTATTCACACATGTATTTACCCGTGCTCTATATATGTATATATGGGTACGAAGTGTGTATGTACTGTGCTTGGATTCATATGCACGGATATCATATAAATACCGGGGGAATTCATCCGCGTATCGCTTTTCTTTCGACACATTAAACACTTCTCCTGCTCACGGCGCTCTTTCGAATATACAAACGGATAATTCGTGTTTTAACGCCCGCGTTTGTGAGAGATAAAAACCTTTCTGTTCATTAGCGAATAGAGGAGAAAATATGCAATGTAATTAGGCACCCTCGCGAGTAGCAACGTGCGCTTTGGAAGGGAAAACGTAAAAATTTGAGGAAAGTTGAGTATGCTATAAGAAAAAACAAAAGTTTTTATTTCCTGTAAACACGCTGTCTATCATGTTCTAACAAATGCTTGGCCGAGCTGTTGAATTGAGCAAATAAGACATTTTCTCAGAGAGACGAGGCGAATTTTCCATCTCGATTAGTTAGTTAAGCTGTTAAGGCTTTGAACTCAGTCCCGTAATGAAACATAGGGATCTAACCGCGTGGAGGGTCCTAAAACGAAACGCAGGTTCTAACCAACCGCAGTGGCATTGAGAGATAAATCTATTTCCTCGCCTGTGTGTATGCATGCGCGTTGTTGGAAAATTTACGAGTGTTAGAAAATGTATCTTACTGAAAACAATTTACTGATACAAATTAAAACACAAATTATTAGAGTGTAAAATAAGGAAATGTGAAAACATGACATATAAATTATAGAAATTTTAAAAATATATTTTTGCCAAGTAGCATATACGTATATAGTATATTGTCGTGAAATTGAGAATCGAAATTGAGAGAAATCGTTTTGGAATTTACTGGATAAGAGAAACATCGCTTATTAAACGCTGGGCAATATATAACATCTCGTTAATTAAAGTTTATAATCTCCGACGAGACGAGTTCACGATTGCGCTCTGCATCGCCTCTAGCTTTGGTTGTAAACAACTTCGGTGTCTTTTGTCATGTAATTACGCATTTTCTCTCGCTCGCATGGAACTGCGAAATATACAAGACGTTCGGCAACTCTTAGTTATAACAAAGGGATTATCTAATAAAGTTGAAAATCCTTTCTTTATCAAAACATTACTGTAGCTCGAAAACTATCGAAATTATAAAACATTTTTTACTCGGACTTCAGTAAACTAATGACAAAATTTTACTCTTTTGAAGTAAAACTTCTTGTTGATTTAACTGGCAATATAATTAATTAAATGCTACATTTGGTACGACGTTTCGACCCAAGTATCAGGTCCTTATCAAGTAATTGGTTTTTTGATAAAAAAACATTTCCGCGATCTCATGTTTTCTAATGTGTTCAACTATGTAAAATAATTGGGGTCGGCCAATTAAATTCATGTTTATTAGCTGAACGATGTCTGCTAACGACCGATTGACCACTGACATGTTTTTTTATGTCATTTTTGTGTTCTTTAATTTTACTCTTTTATTTTACTTCATATATTAATAGATACTTTTTTCATTTAGAAATACACATTTTTAAATTAAAATATTGCTTTAACAGAAGGAGAGAAACATTAAATTGACAGAATTTCAATTTGAGATGATATTTAATTTATTTTTGCCAAGATATTTAATTCAAAACAACTAAAAAATTGAGCAAAAATTGATTTCAAATTAGTCAGAAAATACAATGCCTGCAAGTTTAGATTTATCGTACAAGCACCCCATACACGATCCAACCAATTTTGTTTTGCTTTCTGTTTTCCCGCTACTATTCTCTGTCAGTGCTAATTAAAAGTATCCGATCCAGTAAGTAGATTACGTTACGTATTCTGTTTTCCACTTTCCCGACCGGGCGACCTATCATGTAACTTTTACGATTTCCCATCGGAAATTCCTGGTCGCGATTAGTCCTGATTCCCGCATCGATTTTTGGTAGCTGTACTAGATGAAAAACAGCCGGAATGCACAACGCTTAGAATTCAGGTAGCTCCGTTTTCGTCAGATATGGCATACCGTTTTGCTCCCGAAATACCAAGAGATCGTTGAGGCGGTTTTTCGTGCACGCACGGTCGGTCACGTGGCGAAGTGCATTCCTGTGCCTTTTTCGATCAATGATTTCAAGTCGAATTCAAACTGAGCAAACGAGCGCTAGCAAAATTTGAGTGTTTGCAACACCGCCGCCGATGGCACTCATTGAAGCAAGTTGTTTTTTCGTATTTGTTCGCGCGCTTGTTTGCTTGGTCTGGATACGGCTTGATGAGCTTCTGGACACGTGATCGGTCCTTCAACACAGCGGAGGAGGATATCGATTTAAGCGCGATACACTGCAGCACGAAATTCTTCAAATAAAAACACATATACCAAAGCGTCCTTCATAATATCGGAGCTGAATATTACTAACGATGTGTAGCTTCCTGGTCTAGCCATTTTTGTATTGTAAAACGACGCTGGGAGGCGCAAAGAAAGTTCCCTTTTAAATGCTTTCTGGCTTTACGATCAAATATCGCATGTTATTGAACGTTGGGGTGTGCGATATTTATGGCCTTTTGCGTAATTAAGCCAATGATCTCTCGATATCTGTGTGGGCGACACGGTGAAAAGGCCGCCGCGGTCTTGCCGCGTTTTTTTTTCAGGCACGAAACGCTACGCGATTGTATCAGTGAACAGTGGTTCGCGTGGGCCAGTTCGCAAGTTTGCCTTTGCAAAGTGCAGATTTAAACGACTCGGTCAAACAAAGGGAAGGAAATTAAATGGACCGTCTATCCGCGATCAGCTGTCGATTTTCATCAGTATACGTGGCGATATTTAAAACTAAATTGAGATGATTATGAAATTGCAGGTGGATCGGGCAGAGAAGGAGGAAGGGCAGGGAGAGGGTGGTCTGGTGCCGTCTTGCAGCGGTGCTTCCGGTTCGAGGATGGGCCCTGGGCCCGATTCCGGCAGCAGCGCTCCCTCTTCGGTTCCCCAGTCGCTGGCTACCTCGAGGGACGACGAGGACGACGAGGACGATGAGAGTAGCGGTAGGCGATATGGCCACGGAGGATCGAGGTTAGTGATTCTCGACACACCCTTGCATCCCGGATCCTTACAATTAGTGGTTTTGTCGCGCGCGATGATACGCAGGCCGAAAGACGGATTCGCGTGACCGACCAATTTTTCGATCCGTTTTTCATGGTTGTTGGTACGAGCAGGTTTCCGTGTTGCACACAGTTCGAACATAAAAACTCTTGAGCCTAAACTATTATAAATTTGTACGTTTGTTTATTTAAAAAATGCGTATTGATATATTTAAAATATATATTGTCTTGTGTGGAAGAAATTAGTTGAGATTAAATTCGTGTACCAAAATTTTTGATTACGTAACGTAAATACATAAACGCGGATTAAAATTGCTGTAATTAAAAGATTGCCAATGCGGAAACTAGCGATTGTCCTTTCCTATATGCAATTTGTTATAAATGCTGTTTCCGCGTCCGACATATCGGTTAACAATTTAACGTTAAGCTCATTAAACATGAACTCGTTAACGTGTGTGTTCTGTTTCGCGCGATTAAACTCGTAATTATATTCTGCACGTCCTGCAATCTGGCACGAGATCAAAGATTTATGGAATAAATACCGTTATCTGTGCTTGGTTTAATAACATTTTTATCTTCTTCCTCGTGGAGCTGCATTGAAATTGAAATAGTGACAATTGAGAAATGTATAACGCACACGTTTCACGGAGGATATCGATTATTAATCGCTGTATTTAAGATGATTGAGAGGAGCACGGAAATTTGCCTTTATATGTGCACATTTGCTCAGAGACTACATTATATTCCTCATTCACGCAGGGAATGACCACTCTCTATTTCTCGTCCCTTGTGTGCAATTTACTAATTGCATACTAATTTAAGCATCGATTAGCACTGATTTAGGTGTCCAATCGGGGAGATTCGATCAATTTCTATAACTTAGTCGTGTTCTCGCGTACACAGGGAGGTTTTGGAAATTGAGCGCTGCTGCGCTGCTTCTGCTTTTTGCGTGAACTGTGAGGAAAGGCAAGAAAAATATTACAGGCGAATCTCTGCGGAGAAGATAGGTTCATAGGAAATTAGATAACGCTGAACCGTATACAAGATTCTCTTTTATCCATTTTCCTCAACATTTTCCTCTCTTTACTCGAAAAAGAGCGACGGTCGTTCCAGTTAACGGCAGCGCGCTGTGTAATCTCGGGAGCGGCCTGTCTCCTCGCGGTACGCGTGTCTGCTCGAATTAGCGCGAGATAATTTGCACGAAACCCGAAATGCGGAGAAAACTCGCTGAATTTTGTCGTACTTCGCTTCGAGCGCTCCGCGAATTCCGCATCGTGATCGTGACGGTCAATTGCGACGTCTCGTGCTGCGATACCTTGAAAATTTCATTCGATACTTGGCTTGCGTTTGATCCCGCTCGTGGCGAGAGTGCTTTAAGTGCCGCTAACGATTTTGCTTTCACCGTGCATTAATATCTAACGATAAATGGGACAACCTGCAATGTAGCAACATACGGTATCTGGGATATTCCAGGTTATACCCCTTTTAGACTCCGCGCCGTAAACTTGCTATTTTACTTCCGCTACTTCGGTCGATAAAGAAAAATAATCTCCCATTCGGAACGACGGTTAAAATTTTGTTTATGAATCTTTTAGCGGTAGAGTTGTTTTTATTTTACGTACACTCTTAATCTTGTATCACGCAGTACCGCCAAATTCGAGGTACACGTTAAAATAAAAAGTATACGTAATTATGAGGTACACGCTTAAGAGTGTACTGTCGTGTAAACGCACGCGAAAAGCATTCGACAAAGTTTATACCTGTTTGAAAGGTTTGCAGATATTTAGGATTGATATCCTGTTTTCCGCCTCAATTGCAATCGTAGAGATCAAAGCTGTAAAATGTTGCTTTGTTAAATAGCGAAGATCTATCCTGCATTTTCCACGTGTACTACTTGACCGTAACATTTCGAATATTTAATAAAATCTCGACGCATTATTTTACCTCACGTTTGTGTTACACCGGGACGGGGCGGGACGTATAAAATATCAGTGCACCGTAGACAGACAACAACTTACACGTAGCTGTCGATACAACGATATTGGGGAGATAAAATCCCCGCGTTCTCGATTCAAACGAAGCGTTTATTAATCACCGATTGTTTCTCCCTCTCTCTCTGTAATCGCGGTAAGCTACGTTGGCAAAGTAACGCCGTGAAACTATCGCAAAATACTCTTTACCGCGCAAATTGCAGTAACTCAAATCGCTTTAAAGCTAATAGCGGCGCGTTCTCATTATTCGATTTTCGCGTCGCAACGCGTTTCGGCAACACGCACGTCACATGCATCGAAAATGCGCTTTCAATACGCCGCGGCAAATTTCAGGCGGAACATTTCGCGATCGTAATGGATGGGACTTTAATCGGGCGATGATGAATTTGCGAGTGAGAGCCACCCTCTCGTGTTTCGTTTCAACATTTAAACATACGTAGTAATCCCCCCTCGTAACCGCACGCACCCCCACACTAATTCCCAATGCGAAATATTTACTGTGTGCACAGCGCATATATTTTGCTGCGGCCGAGTGTTCGTCACAAATAATGACTTTTTTCACCCTTGACCGTATACGAGCGGCACGTAACACAATTATCTCACGTCTGAGTATACCGAAGGGGAAAACGCATTCAAGTTGATAGGTCTACGGTGGTCGAAAACGTGGAGGATTTTTAATTTTTCAAAGCTCGTGCCTCCGAAAGCCTCTCTCTCGGAAGCTCAGTGCTGTGAAAGAAATGCCGTGTCCGGAACGTGTCGTGGAAAGGCGAAGCGTTACGGGAAAACAGAAGAATTTTCACATTGCATTGCGAATTACCGGATAACTTTTTGCCGTCGGCATAATTGACTTTGTCATGCTGATTTTGTTAATGCAAATGGAAATGCAAACCTTTGCGGTCGTGCATATTAGATGGCGCGTGTTTCATTTTAAATGGATCATACATTCATTTAAATTATCCGTATTTTCCGTAATATAATGGAAAACCTAGATATACGTATTCGTATAAAATACATGCGCGTGCGCGCGCGCTTTATCTGATTATAGTACTATAAATTAAAGGAATATGCGCACGAAATGCGGCTAAATTAATGACACGCTCGGTTGATATAGAGTACAGTATAATATTTTCCGTTGCAAGTTAATCATACTAATTTTACGTTGTACCACTTTTATTCTTATTAATACGTTTATTAATGCGGTTTAATTAATTTTCTAAATTTTATGTACTTTCTTTCAGAGAACCTCTCTTTCCCTGTTTTCCAGGGAGAAATCTTGTATTTCTCCCTTTTTAATGTTTGTCCTCAAAAATTTTATGAACGCCATTAAGCGATTTCGTGTCTAACGAGAAATTCAGTCTTGCACGGGGATTTCACGGCATTAAAATGAAAAATACGTGTATCAAAGCAGGGCGAAAGGCAGGTTTAAGGCTCACCGCGAATCGAAAACCTCTCAATTCACCGCGCTTCTTGCGAGATGTTTAAGCTCTCAATTGCTCCGGTCCCCATTAAAGTTTACTTTCGAAGTTTGAGGCAACTGAGGCGAGGCTTAATCTTCTTCTTATACAATCGGTTGATCGCGTCGAAGCTTCTTCAAGATATGATAACGACCGCGGGTCTTTCCACCTCGGGCAACGCTCGTTTCACGGCGAGAGCGATAATGGGAGTGATAGCTCGATGAAATCTTGCGCGTAAGTAAGCGCGAGAAAATATAATCCGGCAAATCCGAATGGAGAGAAATTTTGCGGAAAAGCTTCTCGGCTTGCTTCATCAATCATGGCGGGTAAAGGACGTCGTGAAGCTGGATATCGGCGTCTGATAAATCGGAAAGAAAAACGTCTGAAAATTGCGAGATCCGTCTTGCTTTTAGTTACCTGGAAGTGCATTTAACATCGGATCGAACATTCAATAGGATAAAGGCACCTAATATCGCCTACCAACATTCAAATTGTTCTCACTTAAAGAGTAATTGACATTTTTATCTGTATTTAGTCTCAAATGAAAGAGGAAACATTTGTGTTTCACGTACAGATGTTATTTTTATATCTTTGTAACTATAATAATGTCTTCTTACACAAGTTTAGCTACTAATTCTATGTATTGCCGATTGACATTGGCACTTTGTTCACGAGATCTCACGAGTGGCGATATTAGGTGCCTTCACCCTATTAAGAATACAATAATCTTCCAAAGATTGGAGTGGCAGTATTAACACCAATGTAATTTCACTGTATTTTCAAACTGTTTCACCTCGGAAGCCTCGGAGTGATACGTTTGCAAAGTCCCGAATCAAAATGTTGTGAAACTAAATCAAACTCGACTTTGTAAGTTCAGCTTTAGCTTTTCGCGTTGCAGCGCCGGCCCTGAACTGGATTTCGTAATTAACGGGCGAGAGAATGGAGGGCGAAACTGAGATATACGACGAATTATACGCTGTTTACTGGAGAATCCCCACAACACGATAACGTTTTTTGATGCGCTGACCAAGTTTGCTTTAATGACGTTAGTGCGGCTCTAATAACGCCGATCCGGCGGTCTCCCAGCGTGGATTATTACTCTCGAACCAATTACAGCTCTCGCGTTCGACGGATACTGGCGACACGACCCGTTTTCGCTTGGATGCAAAACGTAAGAGATTTTCTTCCGGCGTGGAATTATATCTCGAGGCAGTACTTTCTTGTGTCGCGCGATCGCGGCAATATCGCTTCGCGCGGAGATATCGAGTAAAACAGTCGTCTTTATCGCGAGGCTGAATTCTTTCCTCGGGAAACACGTATTTCAATGAAGAAAAGTTTATACAAAGAGACTGAAGCAGTATTCGCGCGATAACGATAGATCTTATCTCAGAAATGCACAACTTTTTATCCTATTTTAAATGCTACAATACTTCTTGCATCTTCTTTATTGACATATTTCAAGTATACGGTGCACAGTTGTCCAATCGCTCGTGCAACTCTACGGTGTTCTGGAAAATAACATTGGA